TATATATATATATATATATATATATATATATATATATATATATATATATATATATATATATATATATATATATATATATATATATATATATATATATATATATATATATATATATATATATATATATATATATATATATATATATATATATATATATATAAACGAGGCGACATCGCCCTTCCTGAGAGAAGAGAGAGGCAACATCGCCGAATTATATATTTATATATATATATATATATATATATTTATATAATTTACCGAGCGGTATATCAAATGGTATATCGCTTGGTATACAATATCGTACTGTACCGAGCGAACGTCGAAACTCCGGTACGGTACAATATTGCATACCCTGCTTTCAATAGTAACAATGCAGTTTTTAAATATCTGATCAGTTATCAGAGAGTTTCCAATTGATGTTGTTTTCATGGGCAATCCTTTGATATGTGCTTCGGTTGTTGACAAAAGAAGCATGCACATTGTCCCACGGGGCATGAGATGGAAACATGATCAGTCTTCTCACAAAAATAACATCTTATGACAACTTGATTACTGGGAGCTCTTGCCTGCTGGTGTCTAGATTGTCTACTCTTGCTTTTTTTTTTAGGGTCCAAAATGTGATCTCCTAAACGCAGATGGTGCAACACTAAAAGGTCGCTTCGATCCTTTACATGTTGCAATTCATTATCCAATTTTTTTACCACCAAAGTTTGATTGAGTACTTCAACATGTGTTGATAAAATCAATATAGCAACAAACTTTCTAATTGACGGACAAAGTCCCCTCTCAAAGTGATGAGCTATCTGATGTTCATTGACGGCAATATGTGGAGAGAACTGAGCCAGCTTAGTAAAATAATTATCATACTCTATCACAGTACTTCCCTGATGGATGCTAAGAAACTCTTGTTGCTTCTCGAAGCAGACTGAATCAGGGAAGAATTGCTTATAGTATGCATTTTTAAATTGCTCCCAAGTCACCACATTGCCTCTTGCCTCCAACATCTTCCCTTTTGAGGTCTACCAAGTGTCTGCCTTCCCTTCCAAAATGAAAGAAGCGAAAGGTACCTTTTGATTTGCCCTACATTCGATAGCTTCAAATGTTTTCTTCACTTGAAGGATTCAACATTCAGCAAAGATTGGATTTGGCTTGCCCTCGAAAATAGGTGGTCTCAATCTCTTAAAGTGATCGAAAGTGTCATTTCCACCCCGTAGAGCTTCATCTCGCTCCTCCTAACACTTAAAGTAGCCTCTGATAGTATTGAGGACTTCGTGTACATCATCTAGAGCATTGCCAGGTGCTGAAACACGAGGTGCATTTTGTGGTGTTGGAGAATTTGGCATATAATCTGTCACGACTCGGGGCTAATAAGCTAACTGGCCCATTAACTTTGTTTGACCTAAACTATTGGTCAAAATGCTTAAGTTGAAGTGATAGTAGCATACTTATCAGACCCTTATAGGTCAATCTTAATTTTACTCACTTTCGATGTGAGACTAATCGGGGTGTTACAGTCAGTGATTTAAAAAGCGCTAGGCGCCAAGGTCCAAAAACGCCCGAGGCGCTAAGCGCTCGCCCGAGCGAAGTGAGGCGCTAAAATATAAAAATAGATAATATAATTAATAAATATAATTATTTAAATTTTTAAATAAAAATATGTTATTAAATTAATATAATAAATACAAATACTATTACTAGCATACAGTTAACAGTATACTATCGAAAAAGAAGAGTGTAAGGGAGGAGTCGAAAGATCGAGGGTGTTGATTGAGAAGAGAGGGAGCGGTAGCTGCGAGCGACGACAGCGGCAGCGAGCAGTAGCAGCGACAAGCGGCGATAGTGGCACCGGTAGCAGCGGAAGCGGCGAGCGGAGACAGTGGCAACGGTAGCAGCGAGCAGCGGGAGCGGAGACAGTGGCAACAGTAGCAGCGGGAGTGGGAGCGGCGAGCGGCGACAGCAGCAGTGACGGTAGTAGCTTGAACGACGAGCAGGGTTAGGGTTGAGGAAGTCATGCTGATATCAGTGCTTTAGTTGGTTCGACGGAGACCGAACCAGACCTCAAACGCTGGTTCGGTCGCCTGGTTTAACCTAGGCGCTCGCTCGAAGCGCCCGGCGCCTGGGCTCGGGCGAGCGCCCAGGCGGCGCCTCTTTGAAGCGCACGGCCTGGAAATGAAGCGAGGTGCTCGGGCCTCGCCTCACCTCGCCCGAGCGCCTAGGCGAGTGCCCGAGCACCTTTTTAAATCACTGGTTACAGTCCATGCCCAACAAATACTACACATTTTTTAGTTTCAAGATTCTAAGTCTTTACTTATCCAGGTAAAGACTAAAATTTAATTTCCACCTTACACAACTAGTTGGAGGTGAGTAGCAGTTCGAGTTGGATTACTTTCATATTGTATAAACTACTAATTAAAGATATTTGTGTGATTATTATTATTTGTCACTCGTAAGTAGAAGTCACTAATGTACCAAAATCAACCATAAACTTCTGTTATACCTTTAGATGTTAAGCCAATTTAATTATCCTATCCTTGTTTGTATATCTAGTTTCATACTTTCATACAAGAATAAAGACTTAAAATCCTTTTTTGTATCCCACATGTGTTTTCCAATTATGTTGACCTTAAAAATGACCAAGTTGATTACAAGGTCGAAAGGACAGGGATTGATCTCGGGATCAACAATGGAATTTTGGGGCCAGGAGATAATATGGTCAGTTGGAGTTTAAAAATATTTTTAACAGAAATAGTAAACAGAGAAAGTAAAAAAACTAGCAAACTCATTTAACAATAAGCTGAAGAGCATTATCGGGTCAATCAAACTGGATATTTCCTTAAATAGAAAAGAGGATTATAAGGTCAATGATATATGTGTGATGCAAGCCGAAGTAATTTTTAGAACAGATTACAAAGAAGTCTCCAACAAAATGCACATAATAACCCTCCTAAACTTAAATGTAGGTGTTTAGGATATGTAATTTACTCCAGAGGGTCTTGTCATAAAACAAAATACACTGAGAAATTTGCATGTTTGGATGGGATGGCATGATGATGTGATCAGTCTGAATTGGTCACAACTTATGATTGGTCTGGCAGCGGCAGACTTAATTGACCCCCATCATGAGATCAGCATACCTTAACTTTTCCACTGTTTTGTGTGTGGGTCCTGCTGAACCTGATTATTTGTTTTTTGATCATAGCTTACTTAGCTAATGTAGCATTTACATTGTTCCTTTTCTAAAGGTTTGTCTCATTAAGACATGACAAGGTAATAAGATCACCTTGTATAATTATTAAATATACTTAACTTTCTGTTTCCGAGGTGAGCTGATAAGTGAAAATTTATGTTGATTCTGTAGCCTTTATCCAGTGCTTATGGTCTTGCAAAACATAGGGATGGGCGTTGGGAGTGGGCTATAGCTCCTGGTGTCTCTCCATCTCCAAGATACCAGCATGCTGCTGTAAGATTCTCATATTTTGCCCCTTTCTCCTATCATCACTGCTTATGATTTAACCTGATCCATTTACGTTAAGAAGCATTGTTCTTTTAGGTCTTTGTTAATGCAAGACTTCATGTGTCTGGAGGGGCTCTTGGTGGTGGACGCATGGTGGATGACTCTTCAAGCATTGCAGGTAGTTTCTGCTCAAACTAGTGTAGGACTTTTTGCTAACCTCATTTCACAATTGGATTGTTCTAATAATATTAGGCCACCTTACATATATAGATTTCACTTTTTATTATTTTAAGCTGTATATATATTGAATATTTGAAGATGATATGCATTAAATTAGTATACAATTTGCATCAAGATCTTCATTGACAATCATTCTCAGGAGTTAAGATAGTGGTTTGAAATTTCAAGCAGATCGATGTGTACCACCCAGTATTTACTGTTTTTTTCTCCCATGTAATGGTTCAGTGCAAACATATGAAGTGCATAATGTGGTTGCACACATGCTTGTAAATGATTTTATTGAATGCTTTCTCTATTGTTTTGGAGCACTGTTTTTGTTCTATAAATTATTTTTACAGCAATTGTGCTTTGGCTTATTGTTCATATCCCTTGCTGTCAATTGTCTACCAAATAATATATACAGAAGCAAGTTATGTGATGTGTTATGTAGTCCACATGGTTGTTTCTTGTCATGAGCAATGAATTAAAATGATCAGTTCTTCCTCTGTTTGTATTAATGTGTTACAGTGGCTATTAATTTCTTGTTTCATGAATTCTTATTAAAATTTTCTCCACAAAATAACATTAAGGATGATTGTCTTGGTTTCCTTATGATAAAGTCCTACGAGATTTTAAGTGCTATTGTGTGTTTTTCTTTTTTGTGATAGTGTTGGATACTGCTGCTGGAGTTTGGTGTGATACAAAGTCTGTGGTGACAAGTCCCAGGACAGGTAGATATAGTGCAGATGCAGCTGGCGGTGATGCATCTGTTGAGCTAACACGACGTTGTAGGCATGCAGCTGCTGCAGTTGGTGATTTGATCTTCATTTATGGAGGGTTACGTGGAGGTAGGAGTATAAACTGATTTATCTGTAGTAAATGGGATGCATTTTTGCTAACAGAATATTCCATTTTTTTCCTCTCTTTTTGTCCTCCTTTGCAAGGAAAAAGAAAAGAAAAAAGGGGGATATATCTCATGAAAATGTCTATGAAATTTAAAATCAACTCCTGAACTTCTTATGCTTGCCATTGTATTTTTACTTAGTTATAAGCATTTTTCTTGGTTTGGACCAAGGTTCGCAATTTTGTGCATAAGTACTGTTCTAGTCAGGCTCACATGTCTACTGTATCAGTTGTTACCAGTGTACAACACTTGGTACACTGGTTCATGTCAAGGTTTGAAAAAAAATTAAAATGCTGAAAAAATAAAAAAAGAAACTGCCCCTGTCCGGTTTACCTTGGTCCATGTACTGATAACATGTCGGACCTGTAGATACTGGCCGAACAGAACTGTATTGGATGGTGTTGTGAACCTTGGTTTGGACAATGATTTTTCTTGGTTTTGCCTTGTGTCTTGAACTTTTACATCGATTGACAAATTGGTTAGTATGGAGAGATGAATAGACCACTTTCATCAATATTTCCAATGGAAATTTTCCATATTATTTGGTTGTTCATGGTTGGGTTAGAAAACAAAATATGCCCAATGCCAATGTTAGATGTACTTCAATAATCCAAAAATTCAACTTCTGCATTATACCAGATACCTTTCTTAGTAGTAGCATATTTGTATAAGATTAGCCCAAGTAAACTATTGAACCTTCATGAATACAATATTTTATTACTTTTAGAAATATCATATTTGTCCTGGTATTATCAGGTAGGCATAAGTATTTTCGCATATAGCACCCAAAATGTTATGATCTTCTGGGGTTGATGTGTTTGTTTAGAATTAAGCATTTCAATTAAGATGAGTTTGTTATTGGGGCTTGAAACAATTTACAATAGAAGTCATGCAGCTAGTTTGGGGTTTACATATGATTGCAAGTGTCATTTTAGTTTTGGATGTTTGACTGTGCTGATTAATGAAAGGATGATGCACAATTCTCCCAGACCTCTGTCCTGTTGTTAATTTATGATGCATATATAATAGCATAAATTTAAGACTATAGGAAAAGCCCGAGAAAAGAAGAATAAATGTTATACTATCATGGCAAACTTGACCTGAAAACACAACGGTTGAAAGCCATCATAGTTTCTTTGTAGTTTGTACTCTTTAATGAAACCATAAACTGAAGCATCTTTGGTTGGACCCTGGAGCACGATTATTTTAAATATTGATTTTGCAGACACGTGAGAGAGATTAAGTTCCTGAAATTAGCTATATATGATTGCATTAACTCAATTATGTAGAGTGAAATAGTTAAGAGAAAGCTGAAAGGATAAAGGATTTTCATATTCCACCATTTTGGAAGAGATTAACATGACAGAAAACAAATAGGAGACAGCAATGGGATTTTCACCAGACAGATTGTGTTTTAAATGATATTATTTCATTGTTTCTAAACTTGTAGCTTCTATTACGCTTTAAATATAATGACTTCCAGGACATCTTCAGATTCAATTTGTACCCTAGTTTCAGAATCTATTGTGCCTGGAGTTAACCTATACATGGGAAGTGAGCGACACTTTTTTACATTGTTTTAGAGGGTGGTGGTCAGTTCAAATATTTGCAACTGCTGTTTAGAAACTTCAACTGCGACATTTGTGTATATGACCACATGTAATTAATCACAAACTAATGAGAAAATGTCTGCTTTGTGAGGAATTACAAAACTGGTGGTGGTCAGTTCAAATATTTGCAACTGCTGTTTAGAAACTTCAACTTCGACATTTGTGTGTATGACCACCTGGAATTAATCACAAACTGATGAGAAAATGTCTTCTTTGTGAGGAATTGCAAAATGATGGCTTAGATTAAGATGGTTACATCAATGAGATAGCACCAATGGGCATACGTAAGTTTTCTTTAGGTTCTAGTTGCTTATTTAGGGTGTCTTTTTTGTTCAAAATGTTTGTGACCAAGCACATCATGATCAAGAAATTCCTTTGAATGTCTTAAACTCATTCCTTAATATTACATTTATGTGTATAAACCTGCTTTGTTAGTTGACAGTGTGCATAATAACATGCAGTTTGTGACTGGTGTTGTATGCTCTTCATTTTTTTATGAACATCACATTTGTTGGTTTTATGGTTCTTATTTATAGTGATAATTAATTAATTATATGCCTCATGATCAAGGATTTGTGAGGTTTCTTGCTTACATTAGTTTTTCTAATGCTTCTATGTTAGGATCTGTGACCAGTTCCTTTTTGATACCAAGGATTGAAATTTTGTACCATACCGGGGTTTCGTGTTTTGCTCGGTATGGTGTAGTACAGGTGTACCGAGCGATACGCTACGGCATACATACCTTTTGGTATGCTTAAAAAAATATTAAAATTAATTTTAATATTAAATATATATAATCACAGAAATTAAAATAGCTAATGTTGGTGCGCTTAAAACGATATTAAATATATTATATTTAAACGATACTAAAAATGTAAAAAATATATAACTTAGCAGCGCCCGAACCCTAGGCGAATAGCTGCGGCGTCGAGGGATCGCAGTGGGCGCTGCAGCGAAGGAGTGGAAGAAGAAAAATCTTCTTCGGTGTCGAGGGAACGATGGTTGCGGGCACCGAAGAGCTGCAGCATTGAGGGAGCGATGGCAAAGGGCGCCGCAGCGAAGAAGAAGATGACGAAGAAGAAGAAGAATAAGAAGAAGGAGGAGGCGGCACCAAGTACTATTTATCGAAGCTTCTCCCTCTTCTTCGAATGCCTCTTCCTCCTGGTCTCGCCTCGCCTCGCTGCAGCCGGGCTGATACCACCCGGTAGCAGGCTGTCCGCGTGCCGGTCAACTGGCGGACCGGTATGTACCGCCCGGTATGGGCGGTACTATTCGGTATTGCAAACCTTGTTTGATAGTAACATTTTTTGGGAACTAGTGGAAATGTGTTCTTATATATTAATAGGATTTTGGTTCATATGACCAATTGCAATAAATGCTTGTCAAAATGCTTTTGTTCAGTTAACTAGAATGTGGTTTTTCTGCAGGTGTGCTTCTTGATGATTTACTTGCTGCTGAAGATCTGGCTGCTGCTGAAACAACAAGTGCCGCTTCCCATGCTGCTGCTGCAGCAGCTGCTACAGATGTACAAGTAGGAAGGGCACCAGGAAGATACCTGTATTCTGATGAAAGATCGAGGCAAGATATTCCTGAAACAGCTCCAGATGGTGCAATCATGGTGGGAACTCCTGTTGCCCCACCTGTCAATGGAGATATATATACTGACATAAGTCCTGAAAATGCCATGCTTCTGGGACCAAGGTTGTCTAGGAGTTATGACTCATTTCCTTTTTTGACGTACTATGTTTTGTCAAATTTCGACTTAATTGCCATGTGTTAGCTGTAAATAGCTGATGTGCTCTCTTGAAAGTTAGGTCAGATAGTCTAATAATTGATGGAATCTGTTGCTTGTGATGAACTTGGTGCAGGGAACTGAACAAAGGTGTCGAGTATTTAGTTGAAGCCTCAGCAGCAGAGGCTGAGGCTATCAGTGCTACTTTAGCTGCTGTAAAAGCACGGCAAGTTAATGGTGAAGTTGAACAATTGCTTGATCGTGATCGTGGTTCAGAAGCTACACCAAGTGGGAAAATGATCTCAAGTATGGTTAAGGTGCCAGACCCTTCTGCAGCAAACAACACCCCACCAACTGGGGTTCGGCTTCATCATAGAGCGGTCAGTATAATAAAATGTCGACATGGTAGTTTGACCTTTTCTTGATCGTATGGCATGACCAATTAACAAATCACCAAGTTTGGCTCCATATTTCTTTTAGTTAATGATTTGTAAATAACTTCAATGTTGTCATTATATTTGCAAGTCCCAAATAGGCTTTTTGAACATCTGATCAGTCACTATTGCTTTCTTGGACCTTGAAACTCAACATGTTCATTATGCAGGTGGTCGTTGCTGCAGAGACAGGTGGTGCCTTGGGTGGCATGGTCAGGCAACTTTCAATTGATCAATTTGAAAATGAAGGCAGGCGCGTTAGTCATGGTACGCCCGAGAATGCAACTGCAGCTCGGAAGTTGTTAGATAGACAAATGTCTATAAATAGTGTGCCCAAGAAGGTAAACTTTGTTTTTACAAATGGAAAGCAAATTATAATATGTAGATGGAGAGCATGCATTTTAAAATTGCATCTTTGGCATGATTTATGAGAAATGTGATATTTTCTACTTAAGTCTATTAGCTTGGTAGATATTATAACATACTTAAGATACAAACTGCAGCAAATTTAAATGATTAAACTTTGTGTAGCACTATTAATAAAACATAAACTTAATAATTGAAACTCAGTAGTTAAGAATCTTCCTTGGCTTCCAAATTGTATCCTTATATGTGTATCTGTCATGAATTTTCTAAAGAAACCCTCATCCAATTCTTTGGTATTTTGTAATGCTGATCCAGGTAATAGCACATCTTTTGAAACCTCGTGGTTGGAAGCCCCCAGTACGGAGACAGTTCTTCTTGGATTGCAATGAAATTGCAGATCTTTGTGACAGTGCGGAAAGAATTTTTACTAGTGAGCCAACTGTTCTACAAATTAAAGCTCCTGTTAAGATATTTGGTGATTTACATGGTCAGTTTGGGGACCTCATGCGCTTGTTCGATGAGTATGGTGCTCCTTCAACAGCAGGGGACATAGCGTGAGTATCTTGATTATGCGAATGAATTGTGACTTTATTTGTGAAAGTGATCCTGTATCAAAAGGGATTACAGTTTCCTTGGGTTGGCATAACATGCAATCATCTTTCATCTTTTTCTTCTAATTTTACTCGATGAGAGTTGCTTAGTACTACTGTACACATCAAGCTTATTTTATGTATTTTGTACTTTTATTTGCACATGTATTCCAAACTCTCTGCTTCCCAGTTTATAATATTCAGAATAGCACATGTATCACTTGTGTTCTGCTTGCAATGCTGACTTGCTTTTATGAATTTTAGTTATATAGATTATCTCTTCTTGGGAGACTATGTTGATCGTGGTCAGCATAGTTTGGAGACTATTACTCTTCTTCTTGCATTGAAGGTATTATTTGGATGGGATGCATGCATCTTCTGTTGGATTTAGTCTTTCTAGTGGCAGTCAAGATATAAGAAACTACTTATCTACTAAAGGAAATTGGTTTTTTTGGCACTTGCAGGTTGAGTATCCTCATAATGTACATTTAATTCGTGGAAACCATGAAGCAGCAGATATTAATGCTCTATTTGGATTCCGGATTGAGTGTATTGAGCGAATGGTACAAATAATTGTTTGTTATTTTTGAGGGTTTTTGAACAATTTCTCCCATTTATCTATTTTAATATCTGGAAACAGGGGGAACGAGATGGCATCTGGGCTTGGCATCGCTTTAACCGACTTTTTAATTGGCTACCTTTAGCTGCACTGATTGAGAAGAAAATTATCTGCATGCATGGTGGCATAGGTCGGTCCATAAATCATGTGGAGCAGATTGAGGATCTTCAACGGCCAATCACAATGGAAGCAGGCTCAATAGTTCTTATGGATCTTCTATGGTTTGTAATTTAACAGCTACAAGTAGCTTCTTTTCTTATTTGCATTTGATTTATCACGTAAATAATGTATTTGTCATTGTCCTAATAATTTAGGTCTGATCCGACAGAAAACGATAGTGTTGAGGGGCTAAGGCCAAATGCTAGGGGTCCAGGACTTGTCACATTCGGGGTTGGTGTTTTAGCATCGACTTAATTTTTGTTTTTTTTGCTTTTGTTTATCTTTTTGTTTTGATTTCTTTCGTCAATCTGATCTCTTTTCATATTACTGCAGCCTGACCGTGTTATGGAGTTTTGCAATAACAATGACCTCCAGTTGATAGTACGAGCACATGAGTGTGTAATGGATGGTTTTGAGCGTTTTGCTCAAGGGCATTTGATTACTCTTTTCTCTGCAACCAATTATTGTGGTAGGACTGGGTTTTTAACATGCTAAGCATCCCATGTTAGGTTCTCCCCCTTAATTCTTCTAATATCTTCTGTACAGGGACTGCAAATAATGCGGGGGCAATTTTAGTTTTGGGAAGAGACCTTGTGGTTGTTCCAAAACTTATTCATCCTTTGCCTCCTGCCATTAATTCCCCTGAAGCATCGCCAGAGCGTCATACAGAAGATACATGGATGCAGGTATATAACATTCTTTCTTCTATAAACCTGGTTCTTGACTTTTTCTCTCGGCCTTCTGAACCTTTTATTGTTCCTTTCATGCATCAGGAGCTCAATGCCAACAGACCACCAACACCAACCAGGGGCCGACCTCAAACATCAAATGATCGTGGTTCTCTTGCCTGGATATAGCAATAATATGATATATTATAGTCAATCCTGTTCACTTGTCTGGGGCTCTTGGGATTATGGCCACCCCTTCTCAAAGACTCGGAACCATACCCCTTAGATTGATCCGACCACAATTGAGCTGTCAAGGTCTTGAATGGGTCAGCAAAAGAGCTACATCATGAAGCTGCAAAGAAAAAGCTGACATCAGGTTTGACGAGCAATTCACACTCCACATACCATATGGCTGGTTCACTGCATCTTGGGTGTAACCAATCTGAAGTTGCCTCAGTTCCTCAGAAGTTTCTCCTGTGTATATGTAGCTGTTGGATAGGCGAATGCGTACGTGGTTTCTTTTCACCATTGGGATCATTGATAGGTTTGTTGTGTGCTATGTATTCTTTTGTATGTTCGGATTTCTCTTCTGTGACCACACGATAGTTTTGGTAACAGCAAGGTCTATTGGGAAGTCCTGTATAATAGATAATTCTACTTGCAGCACTCCTTTTGTATCTTCTTTGGTGCTGTTGGTGTAAGTTTTGTGCGGGAAACACAACTTTGAAGGTTGACAAGAAATTGTTGATGTTGAGGGCATGGGGATACATTTGGCTACAATTGTACTGATTGGTGTTTGATACAATTGTGTGCTTGTTATGTAAACTACAAATTTGTGCCCCTTTTCAAGGCAGTAATCACTACTTGGAATTCAAGTTACCAAGGTTGATCTTCCCCCTGACATGTTGTCAATCAAAATTAGAAATGCTGTGAAGTTGATTCCATCTGCAGGTGATTGATTTCACGTGTATCCAATCAGTATGCTCTCAGTTTTCAGCTGTATATTAGGATGAATGAACCATGTAGCATCTTCATATTTATAATACTTGTGTCGGCCATCAGTAATTACCAATCTTGGCAATACCATCTTATATTTTCTTTGAATCTTTTTGGTTGTGAATGAATCCTTCATGTTTACAGGCATGCAACAGTTGATTGTAAATTGATCAGATGTCTTCAATTGCACATCATAGTGTCAACTTGAAAGTGATCCGTGTAATTATCGTTAACATGATTTTTGAATTTAATCCATTTATGTGATCCGAATTCATTACTATTATCAATGATATTAATTGACCCATGTAATACTATTATCTTTACTATTATCAATGATATTAATGGCATCGCATCTTTGTCATGCCAATCCTCTTTATTGTGGCGAATCAAGTTTGGCTCAAATGTATGAACCAAACCATCTTTCTCAATTTTGATGATGAATCCTCATTAATTACAAAAGAAATGGAGAGTCTATTTATGTTTTGATTGTTACCCCCTCGCCACATAACACTTGAGCAAGATATCCTCGTCATCGTAATAATTATATATCTACAAAACACAATAAGAAGAACGAGAGAGGAAGAAAGAAATTGAATGTGACCCATCTCGCATAATCCATATATACCAAAGAGAGTAAGGCGTGTATTATAATAATTATGGTTTGATGGTGTGTATTACTTTGTACCGTCTCTATCCGTAATGTGAATGAAAAATACACACCATCAAACCATCAAATAGCAGCAGTAGATAGTAATAATTATTATAACAAGGCTGCGGAGGAAGAGAGATGGTGATGTGTAAGTATGATGGCAAGGACGATGGAGAGTATGATGGTGATGATGATGACGAGTTTGATGAGAAGGATGATGGTGATGCATATCCACTTACGGATGTTCTTATAGTAGTACACTAAGTGATGTTGAGATGGATAGATGAGTTGACACGGTGAACTAGAAGTTAGATTATGGCGGCCAGCTGTGCACTAGTCCAAATAGTCTATTAAGACAACAGGTCAATGGTGATGGAAGTCAAAATCTGCTAAACAGCTTGAAGAGTCTTTTCTCTCCTTTCTTGCTCTTATTTCCCCATCTTTCAATTTACTTTCAGCATATAATATAAAATAATGATCATAATGATATAACTAGTTTAGAATTATCCAAGAATTTACTTCATTGGGATTTGGATTAGGCTAAGATGTTGGTGTTATGTACCTGTGGATTTAGAATTATCTGCAGGATTTGTTTATTCCTTTTAGCTGTGATGACATCATATAGAGTCAATGTCATTACATCAGCATTTTTTATTTGCTCAACCATTTTCAATCCATGAATCTTGTGATTGAACATCCTGTAATGCACATAAATGGAGAGTGATGTCAAATATGCAGCATTTTCTAGTGTGGCAATCACCAAAAAGTCAATGCAGCTGCACTGGCACGGTTATATACAAAATATGGAACTGCATCGATAACAATTATATGGAACTTGGGATCTGAAGTAGTTATTTACAACAGTAGTCGGGCGGAAAACCCTTCTCCAAAAATACAATTCATTTGATATATAGTCATACAAACTCGGGGCTGCGAAATATACCCCCTCATGTATTGCTAACATATACTGAACTACAGCTGCAGTGACGCCTTTTCTATGTTTGCATCATTTATCGTTCACAAGCTGATTTGTGGATCAATCATCAATAACAAGATTACCATCACTTGTATTGCCAGCTTTATCGATCACAGGTAGTGGTCCACCAGGTAGAGTGACATCTAACAAGTTGATACCTTCTACCTCAAGTATTCCAGGATCATCGATCCAATCTCCTGCATCGTAGCTGCTTATGCTGAGCAGGTCATTTTCGCCATTTATCAAGCCCTTGCTTTCTGTTGCCACTGGTTGTCTGGTCAAATACGGATATGTGAGATTAGTTAGTTCGTTTTTTGCTCCAGCATGAAATAGAATTATTAAGTAAACACATGCATTGGAACTAACCCTTCTTGAAGGTGCAAGTTATAGTGGATGAAAGTAGCGTCATTCAACCTCGCACGTTCCAATCTGTTCTTACTTGAATGGGCATATTCATTGATGTAGCAGTTCCTCCTGAATGTAGGCATGCGGCATGTCTGGCTTAGGATCCTAACGGCAAATCGCTGTAGGTCTGGATAATCTGATGCATACATAGACCACCATGCAGCTGGAAACAAAAATTTTCAAGCAATGATTAGTTTTGGAAAATCAAAACCTTACGCAACATATTTTTCACTTGAATTATTGGTAGTAAAGAAATTTATGTTCCGGTAAATTATCAACAAAATAGAAACCAAACTTACCTGGAGGCAGTGATTCTCTTCCCCTTAAAGCCAATGGTCGACTAAAGTCTCCTAGAGAATCTTCATAAAAAGATTTATGCTTTGTAATATTATCTTGGGCAGTCAGATCAGGCTCTAATGTCTCAATACAATCAAGCAAGCCTTTCTGAATAACATTGGTAATAAAAAATCTGGTGTTATAATAGATGGAGGGATTAAGATAATAAGCAGCAGCATGCAGGGGGCTGTGAAATTCATCATGTACACGATTTATGACCGCCAAATATGGCAAATAATCAGATTCCTGGTTATCAAATGCCAATATGATATCCTTTTTTGCTTTTTCAAATGCATCAAATGTATATCCCATAGAAGGCCTTTCTCCACCATCTCCAAGGTGTAGAACTCTCACAAGGGGTTCTGAGACCTTTATGATATTTGCACATGATTGCCAGAACTGCAAATCAAATACAATGTTCTTTACACCCATTCCTAACTTTTGCTTAGACAACACCGACTCCTCCCAGGAGTCACAAGTGAACATCTGCTGAAGAGCGTCTTTGAGAGAAAATATTTTCTGTAAAGTTAGATGGTCTGTTATAGACTGTGTCATGCCAGGTCGAATTAAATCTCTTCCTTCAGTAGTCTTCTTCAACAAATTAAGGAGCCATGCATCATTATTAATCAACTGAGTGATTTTCTTTGCCTTGGCAATTACACCATATACTTCATCCATTTCACTCAAGCCTTTAAACATTAGTTCAATGCAATGGTTCACACAGACACTCCAAAAAAAGGTTTTATACTTGTCCATTAGCACCTTTCCTGCAGCTTTATACCAGGGTGCACTATCCGATAAGAAATGTACTATGTTTCCAGGGCCAACATCTTGAATGATACTCTCAAATAAATGGACAAGGCCTTCCAAGGAAGTCTCAATCTGGGATACATCTACTGACTTGAGAAACATTGTTCCTTTCGGACAATAAACAAAAAAGTTAATTATGGACCGACCAGCTGTATCCATCAGCCTATCAACCAGGACAGTACAGCCCGTCACTTCCCATGACTTACGAAGCTCTTTGCTGATTTCTTCTGCATCAGTGGTACATCTACTTAACAATTTACCTTTGAGGGAATGATGCGAAGGCATTTTGTAGCCAGGCCCTACACCAGCGATAGCATCTGCCATTCTCTGAAAATACACTGAATTGGCTGCACTTAGTGGTATGCCAGATTCATACATGAATTTTGCAACCGTAATATCAGCTTGGTCTATGATTTCTTGTGAAGCAAAAGAAAGTTGCAATGTAGACAGAGGGAATGTTGAGCCCTGTGGACTGCGTAACATCTCCACTTTCTTTCTCTTTTTGGAATATCCTTCATCCTTCCCTCGTCTCCTATGAGAAGCAGCTGTTGGAGAAATCGGAGTCACTTTAAGAGCATCACCATTATATTCTTCTGTGTTCTGCTGGACATTACAATTTTCCAAAACCTTAAAGCCTAGATGTTGTTGCATTTGTGCTTTGACATCATCAGGTACTTGGTCACATGGTGCTATGTTACCTCTTTCTCCTGCTAAATGTTGTTTAAGACGAGAAATTCCACCACCTAAGATTATCTTGTGGCAATATTTGCACTCTATCTTTTGTCGATCCCCATTGACCATTGCACCATGAGCCCATCCAATATCAGTGGCTCTAGTAGGCATGAAATCCTTGAAGAATTCAAAATGCAAGAGAACAAATAATTAACAAAATAATCCAACCGAAAGATAGATCAAGCATCCTAAGGAACATACTTGCTCATCCTTATATTGAATACATGAAAAGGCATCAATGAAACCCCTTGTCCCAATCTCAAACTGTTGCTCAGATGTTCTTTGAGCTGCATCACATGAAAAGGAAAAAAAGAGAAAGAAACAAGTCATATAGACAAGGAACCATATGTCATAGTAGGCTAATTGAAAAAGACTGAACAGAGACCAGAAGCTTTAAGAATTATATATTAATTTTTCCTAGAGAGGCTAACATTATTTCTGACGGAAACAATTGAACAGAAAATCCATCTGATTTGACTGGAAAACAAAGACTAATAATTGAATATATAATTACAATAATGACAGCTATATTTTGACAGGTATGACGTCTGGAATACCATGAATTCATGATATCATACTTTCATAGATGCAATGCAAAGAATGCATAACATAGTCATCACTTACTTGTTAAATAATGAATATACATATGAATAAGCATAAATATGTTTGGAGATGTTTGATTATATGTGTTCAAACATAGACACATGTACTAACTTGGGAAAAAACATGCTATGTTCTCAATAGCATGACATGAATCTGATATCTAGTGCCTAGTATATGAGGACTAGCTTATGAATGCAAAACCTTCAAAATTGAAAATTATGATGAAACGGCACATAATGTGTTCTTAATAGCATGATATGAAAATTGATATCCGGTAGCTGGCATATGAAAACTAGCTTATGAAAGCAAAACCGTTAAAATTTATCTTTCAGACAAAGTAGGTGAGAAAATTTTGAGATCATATTGTATTATCTGTGCTGATCTAAACCTAATTTGCCAAGGTGAAAAAGTCTGTGCTGATCCACATATGGGGCAAACTTAATTTTGTCACTCCACGTGTTCTAAAAATTCTATCATCGAATTGACATGCAAGAAGAAAACATTTAACTGGTGTACAAGCAAAGAATCATGCTGCCTTTTAACTCAAAAGGGACAACGGCAAAAAACAAACTCTAGCAACCTCTTATCTCACACATGTCTAGCTTCCTATGTGGTGGCATTATACTAAAGTCACTAAACTAAGACCAATTTATCCAAGTAGTTAATGTATTAGGAAATAGTCATATACACACTTCCATAATTTTTTTTGGTTATTTTCCTTTTCTGTAAAGATCATTTACAAAACCTAATTGGCAACGTGTGTTTTTAAGCTATCTAAGAATGGGACCCTATGAATAGAACTTGTAAGGATACTGTATGAACTGTGAAATACTTCAACATTATATTAACAAGTGTTTAATACGTTAAAAAAAATGTTATCTTAAGAGGAAATAAACATTGGTGAGACTAGAAAGAAGAGTTTTTTATTATTGCACTAGAGAAAAGTATTATACTGGAACAAATACGAGGTTGGTACTGGAGAAGTGGTTATTTGGGTGCAGCAAAGGGCAAAAGTCAACATACAGATAAGGCAACTAAGAAATGTCACAAGAGAAAGCAAGCAACCTAACAAGAGACAGAGGAACTAAAAATATTTGGACTGAGACCGTAGCCTTATACATTTTTTTCCCTTTTTTTATGTCATACAATTCACCCCAACTTTTCATGTCTCAAGCTAAAAATGCTCTCTTTGACTACCGCATATCCCACTACACATACTGACTCCAATCGGTGGTGAATTCAATTGTCCAAAAAACAGAAATAATTTAACCAAGCATAACATTTATTGACAGAAATTAACAATAAATGATAATAAACAAAAGCATTACTATAAGCCTAATATTAAAAAAAAAATCAAACCAAACATGTTATTAACATTACCCAATTAGTCATTTTTCCTTATTGTTCATCTGAATGTCAAAGAATAGGATTATTCTAATAGTGATTAGGATAAATTAGCAAGTACAGAGAGGAGTTCAAAATAAAACAGAAGGAAGTAAATTCATATTCTTCTATGATTGCAAGTAGCTAATATACAATCTGGATTTGCATTTTTTAAAATATTGACCAGTGCACAAATCCAAGTAATATATGAAACTACAAAAAAGGAGAAAGATAAAAAGACAGTATCATACAATGAACTTCTGCTTCATTAAAGGTCAATACTCCTTGTCTAGCATGTGTCATGTCTGGATCTGATGCATCTGATTCCACACTATAATTAGTAGAAATTGGTGCTGAAGAAGTTCCCTCAGCTGTCTTTCGTCTTCTTTTGTTCGGCCTTCTCGGTTTTCGTGTTGCTAGATGATGCGCTATTATCTCCCTTACTTCTTTCGGAACGGCATCACAACCCTTGATTTCTCCTCTTTTGCTTGCCAAGTGTTTCTTAAAACGTGTAATACCTCCGATCATGATCCTATGACAATAGTTACACTGGACATGATGTCTATGGCCACCTATCATGGTACCATATTGCCACCCTATGTCCGGTGGTCGAGGCATTCTTTTACCTAAACCAAGAATCCCGCAATACCTGTCCTGTACAACAACAAAAAAAATCATCTAAAGACTAATAATCATGAAGGCAAGTAAACTCAAAAAATAACACACGATTAGACACTGAATGGTTCATGCTCTATTTATATTGTTTTTCTTAAACATCACTAATTTATCTACAAATTTGAAGCATTAGTCCAACTAGTTTGCAAAAACCCAAGGTTTTAAATGTCTAAAAAATGACAGCTTCAGATGTTCCACATGACATAATATAATGGTTGACATGCAAATCTATTGGCAACTGAAGTTGGAACTAAAATCTAAGCAGTGGAAACCACACAAAATGTTCCTCCAGTTTCTCATCCAATACTTCGAGCACAACAGCTCCTGAGCTGATGGTATTTCGAAAACTAGGATACTAAAACAAGATTGACGCCAATTATATTATACAAACGCAAGTTCAATTCATTTTCTTCATTTGAGGCGATCATAATGTGTCTGGCCACATAATTATGATGATTGAAATTTGAAAGCCATGACTATGAGTATTAAGGATCATCACCAATATCATCAAAAGAGACCTTTTATGGATGCAAAGTGAAGAAAGTACAGTAAGCAAACGAACAAGCATTAAACCCCGGTTAAAAGTCGTGCATTCCAGTTTTTAATCACAACCAAGATATTTTTTTTATGTTATGAAGCTCTGTAACACAATTAAATTCATCAAAAAGCGACAAGAGATTCATCTGAAAAGAAATATAACAGGCGAGACAGAGAAAGCCGGTTTCCGACTCCGTTCCATCGATCGATTCCGAAACGAAGTAACAGAAGCTAACCGGTGTCGGAAGCGAGAAGGGAGCCGGGGCCCTTCGCGCTTCTCCTCCTCTTCCTCCCGCTCCTCCGCTGCCGCTCTCCGCTCGACCTCCCCTTAAACGGGGGCGATCACGCCGAGCCCGATCGAGCGGTACCTTGACACGAGACGCGCATCATGTCATCATCAAACGACGAATCGGGGTTTCCGATTTGACGCGCCGAGATCGGATTCCCGCGATGCCGGTTTGGGGGCGGGACGGTGGCGAATTGCGCCCGTGAAAAGGCCCGATAAAAACCCTTGTTCTGGCCACTCGTAACGGGGGCAGATGCCCGTTATATATAGCCGTATCAATCGGGGGGGAGGGTGGGGGGGTCGCATTTTGGCCGTTACGTATCGGCGCTATTAATGCGATGTGGTCTACGGAGGCCACCGTAACCTGCTTTTGTGCCGCATCAAGATTGCTAAACACCTGAGATCGTATTATACTGCTTTGAGATTTGTGCATACCTTAGAATTTGGATCATTTTTCCTGAATTATTAGAACAATATTAAATTTAATCTATGCAACTTCTCTACATAAACATAAAAGAATCACATACCAAAAAAAAAAAGTAGCAACGTTTCGTACATCAATTGGTTTTAATTTTGGATTGATTTAAGACTCTAAATTAATCACTACAACAACGAGTATTTTCTCTTTTTATGTTTGATTTAGATACAGTATTTATCAGTTGATAGACGAATAAAATTGGGCTTTTATATCAGTGGCAAACTGTCCTTTTAAATCATAAAATTCCAGTTTTACAAGGCAAATGTATTGATTGTTCATACCTTAATAAAAAGATATATATATATAATTCCAATTTTTCATAACAATTATACTGTATACAGATGTAGGTTTTATGTCACTTGGAGAAAGCCTCCACCTATACCAATACAGAAAACCAACCTGCCATAATGTGATGGGTATCCAATGCCAAGTAAAAATAATGAACTATAACACCTGATAAATGTCAAGACTGGGTCTTGATTTTGGACCCATGAGCTCATGATTCTGGAAAGAATCATCTGTTTGCCAAGATAGATTTATTTGCCAAGATAGAAAGAAAAAATAGTACATATCCTAAGAGGCAACGAATTACTTGTGACATTGCAAATAAAAAGGAAGGTCTCGTATGCTCATCATAAAACTTCTGTTACCTATATAAGAATGAGAAATCGTCATCCTAAGACAAAAAAAGCTTTGGAAAATGTAAGGAATATCATTAAATAAAAGGTAGACCAATGAAGAAGGCAACTGACAACTGAACTAACTCCAAGGATAAAATTGCAGGGGCTCGTAATTTCTCAAGCAATGGAAAAAGAACTGCCTTTGATGAAAGGAAAGTATCACTGCCATTCATGGTTCTAGTACAAGCACCGAAATAAGTTCCCAAATCAAATGGAAAACTCGAGTTCCTAGTTTTGAACAAACAAAGTCCGAGGTAAATCCGACAATCAAAGTTTCTAACGGTAACGGCGGAGAGACAATGTCTGGTTCCTCTTCCAGGTTGCCCTGCGAGATGGTCTAGCCTTGTGGTGCAGGTGGCCCTTGCCACGAAGGCCACGATACTTCTTGCCAGCAGAAGTGAGACCGCGAAGCTCCCGATGCTTATGGACACCCTTGCAGATCCAGTTAATCCTGGGGTCATTCCGGATTGCACTGTGAGCTGGGTCAATAAGGATAATCTCATAATACTTGTAGGTTGAGTCCTGTAAAATACCAAGGTAGTGAGGGGTATTATCAAAATTCAGAATATGTAGGGTACATGTGAACATACATAGACAAGAGAAAAAGAAATGACCGTTAAGCATAAACTGACAATTCATCTAACCTCGTTCACCCAGTAAGAATTAACCACCCTCAACCCTCCCAACTTTCTTCCAGCTCTCTCCTCAGCAACTGACCTCTTGTTTCTTTGAAATTTCAGCTGAGTGATACCCTGATGCTTTGGCTTTCCATAGACAATACCCTTAGGCACTGGTCTCTTTCTGCCACCACGTCTAACACGAACACGATAAATCACATATCCCTGCATGTCAGGAAAAACAATGGAAAATAATGAGGCATCAACTCAGAACAGCAGCTGTGCAACAAGGTCACCCTGATGCAAGAAAGCTAAAACACCTATAGAATAAACATAATGAATGGGTGACATACAACCAAATACAATTGGAATAACCTGTGGTTCACTATAAGCCTAGAAATATGTATCTACCAGTGCCAGATGGTCAAGACAAAATCCACAGCTTACCCACTATGTATGATCAGTTTGAAATGTAGAAGCTGCACTCTAAAGTCTAAATGATTTAGCAAACCAGATCCATACTCTATGCAGTAGACATCCTGATTATTTGATGTCCAGAGCTGCTAGAAATCATAAAAAAAATACAATTTGATTTAAGGATTAACTGATCAATACCTAAATCACCTATAACTTCTTTAGTGAAACTCTTGCTAGATGAAACATCCATAGCTGATCTAACAATGGAGAATCTTCTGTTCATGTAAAAGATATACACATACATTCATTTCATGACAGTAATATTATCATCATTGTTAATATCCAAAAAGCTACATCATGGCTTCATCAATCATCATATTATTGAATGCTAATCTAGGGCCATTCTCTGATCCTTTCACATGTCTTTCAAGATCCACTCTTCATCTTGTTAATCAAGTTGTAATCCTATTTTTCAGTGTTGTTAACCCAATCTCACATAGTTGATGCTGTTCTTTATGTTGCAGAATCTTCTTTTTGATCATGAAGCCAAAATTATAAACAACTAGTATAGTAAATTTGTTCTAATAAGCAACCAGTTTATGTTTCTATAATTACAGAACTAAATCATTTAACCGGAAGATAGAACAAAGTGAAGATTTAATATGGAAAGAAGAGCCTTTTTCGTGACAAAAGATCAATCATATATCACAATATATTCTCAGCCACTTGCAGACATCTAGTACAACTTAATCCATCATATGCCTGACATATACTGATCAACTTAGACTCCAGCCCCAAGGATACAATGAAAAAGTGACAAAAACCCATCAATCATGCTTCAATGATCAAGCCAACGAACCAAACTTTCACAATTAAATCATAGACCAACAGCTACATACTAGTTTAACCAGATACTGGTACAACCAAGAGTGTGCCATTGGCTTACACCAGTCTGCAAAGACCAACACTACACCAGTGCCCACCACTAATACACATCTGGCTGATGACCAATATTATTCTGTGATATCCACAAGGACAGGTATGATACAATAATACATGGTGATAATGGCTTGTTTTTTCCTTAACATCTAGAAAGTAGTAAAAGTTCATCAAAGTTGTTAGATTCTTTTTTTTTTTAATTTCTAGACATTCTTTTACCAGCTATGATATATTGTAACCAATATCATATAATGTCACCCACCAAAGATAATTTAACAGATATAAGCAATCAAACATTTTATGAATTTCAAACACTAGTCCAATCAAAGAAACTTCAGTGAAAAGACTCATGTATCAAAAACAACCATGGAATGTGGCTTCAAGGTATCAAACACACCAGAAATAAGAATAGATAAAGGTCCAACCAATGAATATCATACAACCATACATAATGTATTACGGTATTACAGTAATAAAGAAACATCAATAAGAAAGCACAAAATAATAACCATGCTTATGTGGCCCCCATGTATGTGGGGGCAGAATCCATACAAGCGGTATATTGTAGATTGAGGCTGTATTGACTGTATGCAAGGTGGTCATACATCTGCACCTGTGCATACAGCTAGATACCATATAGACCACATATTTCTTTGGCAAGTCGATGACCTAGATCATCTATCTGATGGTTTTTTGTGATGGCACTCTATCCTATATCTTGTTGGTTTTGATCACATACCCTTTAACTCTTCATGAAGGATATCACATGCTACCGTAACATGATCACAATCATATACACAATCAAGTAAATCTAGCAATTTGTGAAAAACCATAAAATATGACCAACATTTCAACCACAATGAGTTAGCATAACTAAGTGATCAGCCTTAAGAAAAAGCTCTACGAAACTACTCTTGACTGCTTGATATGAAATATTCTGGAAACAAACTATACAAACATCTATATTTCATGAACCTTCAATGCGTCAAGGGAGATAAATATGGTACCTCAAATTATTCCCTTCAGCAAACTATGAAAGGAAAGAGAATGAACTTGTATGCAACATACCTAATCACCTAACAAAATTAGCGATCAGGAACAGAAACTGACACCTAAAGTTGCTATTTTTCACCGTTACTACCGAGAAAATTAAGGCACAAATGTCAACTAGCGTAAAGATATATCAATCACTTCAACTATAAAAACAGAGACAATCATGTGCACTAAAAGAAACAAAATTTCCTCTTATTTTCTGCAATCGTCCACCTGCTTGGCCTTATAACCGAGGCGCCGGGCCTTGTCGGGGCGCGTCGGCCTGGTGACACGGACGATCGACGGGAGCTGGCGGTACTCCCAGCACCTTACTCGCTGCAGGAACCGCATCACGTCCGACTGTTTTTTCCGCCACAGCTCCGACACATACTTGTAAGCCCCTAAAAAAAACACACCACAAACCATCCCAATGAACCAATGCTTCCAAAGATCTTCAATGAGCGAACTAAGAATCGCTTAAAAAAATTCCGAGAGGCAACAACATGAGATCGAGTGGATTCGAGGAATGAACGATGTGCAAACGACGAGAATCGACACGACAAAGAAAGTAGGGAAGAGAAAGAAAACGTGAGATCGCACCCATTGCTCCGAAGAGGATCTTCGGTCGTCGAGGTTAGGGTTTTCGCGGCGTGGGCGGAGGCGGCTCTCGGTAGGAGGGAGACGGGTTTATAGACGAGAGCGAAGTCCCACGTAGGAGGAACATACACCGTCGGATCCAGGATGTGTGATCCAACCCGTTCGTTCATCCGCGCGTTGTTCTAGGGTTTGGCGTTGGGTTGACGTCAACGATCGAGCCAGGCGTCCTTAAATCGCGTGCGAGATCGAAGATGAACGGTCATGATTAACTTATGGGGACTTTAGCCAAATTATTCTTCAAAATGGATTTTTTGTTTTTTTATCGTCAAAATCTTTTCCTTAAAAATTATATTCAAATAATTTAATGCAAGTGATTTCTAACAGTGCGGTGTCTGTCATTGGAGGTGAATAATTTAGATTCACTACTCAATAAAAGGTTTTTCTACATGCCTAAGGTTTTAAAATAGCATATTTATTATAGATAATTTTAATTTTTTTATTTTTTAAAATTTAATTTCTCTCACATATATATAAAGGAAATAAGATGATGATTAACTTATAATCTGCTTATTTAACTGATATATTCATTATTGAATTTTGATTTGTTACCCATGGTTTAATTAGATGCTAACTAATTGGCTATCAATTTTAACCATTACTTATAATTTAGATATTTAAATATTTTTTAACTAAAACAAAAATAACACTAACTAGTTATTACCCATGGTAAGGATTACCTTAAAGGATCTTAATATCGATGGATATCGATATGCTATATGTTCGTGTAAATAACTTTATGTCGTGGCCTCGGGGCCGACACGGCTTGTTTCGGGTTCGAATGACGGGGATCTAGCTCAAGGTCTCTTGGGGTTACTGATGTGGGCGACCGTGCAGATCGGATCACGTCAAGGCTCGTTGGGACGTCCTGTGTGGAAGGGTCCCTCTCCTCGACGTTGATGGGGAAGTAGCTCCGTCTTCGTACCTGCACACAGGTCGGGTCGAAGCTCGGCCCGACCCCTCCGACGATCAAGTAAGATGATGTGAAGAGGTCTTTTTGTGTGTGTTCCATCCCCCCCGCGCCTCTCTGGAGCGGGGTTTTTATATGGTGACTTACTATGTCTTATGTGCCTGTTTTGCAGGGAGCATGATCATACTCCTGGCCACGTCTGACAGCGGTGTTGGCGTGGCGTGAAGGATTGGGCTTGAGCAAGACGTTAATGCGCCTTGACCAACGTTCTGGTCCGTTTGACCAGGTGCTGTCGGGTCGATCGAGGCGTGAGGCGTCATGTGGGGCAGCTGACGTCAGCCTGAGTCTTGTCGCCATTATTATCCTCATCACTATACGAGAGAATTTAAAGGCAAATGTGCTATTTACAAACCTCTAAATGTTTTGAAGGAAGATGTTCATTCAACGAATCATGTTCAATGTTCTTCTCAAAGTAAAACAAAGAAAAAACAAAAAAATCATTCTGAATAGTTTTTTTTTCCTTATTGCAGCACACAACTCACTAATTGGAAAAGGAGAGCCTCCTACACTCAAGATTAATCAAGATAAAATACTGTAACCTGTATTGAGCTGTGAAACATTGCATGTTGTGTATGCTTTGATATGTTTGACTAAAATCTTGGTCTAAACAGCTTGACAACAGTGGAAAACAATGAACAGAACAATTAGCATGATTTTGAATAAAAAATAAAACAATATTATGATGGTGATAGAAAAATAATTCACACTTGCTGTCACCAAAAACTTGAACTAGGTCAACCTGCCTGCTTTGATCCCCTTGTAGAATTTAACCTGATAGGTTTGTACTCATCCATCAAACAGACTGCAAGGCTTCTATAATTACTAACCAGATTAGGGCTTCCTTGTCAACATCATGCAGAGCATTCTTACATTTTACATGGCAGATAATAAGCTGTAAGATTGAATCTGTCTTGCAAATTAACATAGCCTCCAATGATACGCATTGTTGAAGTAGAAATAAGCACTTTCTATGGATGGCATAAGGATCTTGATGATTCAACTGCTAGTCGAACAACTTGCGAAGCTTGATGCTTTAAAATTATTAACATGGATCCTTTACAACCATGATCAAATCAGTAGCCAGGGCTCATCTGATACAGTAACCAAGTAGAATCTCCACTGTCATGCAATGCCTTCTTACAATTCTTTCAAAAGCAAAATATAATGTTTATTCAAAAAAGAATTCTCAAAGGGACAAATGTTGATGATCAATCAAGCATTTAATGGTAGCACATATCAAGTTTCTAGAGAAAAAAAAAAGCAAGGCATAACAAAACTGGCTAAATGAAAATGTGCATGTAAAAGAATGTCAAGTTAAAAAAGAAGCAGTTGGTGATGAGGTAATAGAGAACCAAACAAGAGTAACTATTATTCTGCACTAATGGTTAGGTAACCTATTTTTTGGTACTAAATTTGTGTCATGTTTCTATAGCAATCAAGCACAAATCCAAAACAGTGCATTAGCTTGAAGTTTCAACATGCTTCAAAAAGCTAATCACATCTAATGTCACACTGTGAAAACATGTTCATAATGAGCATTAAGCAACACAGGCCATTGGTGTCAAAGAAAATGTCAATCTAAGGCATGTAGCAATTTAATCAGCTAGAAACATTTCCTGCTGATAACTGGAATTCCAAAGAAGTAAGCAACCATATTTTGATGGTAATATGCAACATAAATTGAGAGATTCAGAGATGAAAAATCAATAAACCAATCTAAGTCTCCACAAGTATCAAGCATGAAAGAGGGCCCAAGAGTTTGGAACATAAAGGTAGCACTAATCCTAATATTGATAAATGATGCCAATAATAATAATAATAAAACACTTCAATGGTGTGATAAGATATCATATTGTGTACAATAATTCTACACCTGATAGATAGGCTTTTGGCTCTATCGATTTCGGTTAAATTTAAGCAAGTCACTTACTTCCATCGCATTATTTTCAGGAACTCTTAAGCCAATTTTTGTTACAGTGTACCTCAGCCAAGCTCCTTGAATATCTCATTCCTTGATATCTTGTGCAAATTTCATGCTTCCATTTCTCCTTATAAACTAAGACAAAATTCAGTTAGAAACCATAACCCTCCTATTAGTTCCATGTCGAGTTGTTTCTCTTTGTTCCATGGTAGAAGACTGACTAACATGTTCATCATCGCTCTCATCCTCAGTGTCAACACCTGAAGCTGCTGACAACTCTTCCTCCTCCTCTTCATCTTCATCTTCATCATCCTCTTCCTCGCCTTCTTCATCTTCAGCTGTGATGCCATTATCAATAGAGCCATGGGCAGCACCAATTCTGGATTTGCTATGCTTTTTCTTAGCATCTGTCTCTTTCCCCTTGTGCATGAGATGGATATATTGATACCTCAACCCCATCAGTGGGTGCTTACCCACCAAAAGATCTCTCCTATATGCCTCTCGGAGCACCACCGTTTGTGTCTTCAGCTTATTGGACACGTAAAAGATGCCCGGGTGATGCGTGATCACCTTCCTAAAGCCCGGTGACAGTCCGAGATGCTCTCCGAGCAGAACCAGGTTCTCCTTCTCCGTCTTCTTTGGCACGAAAAGGTGTAGGACCTCATGCAGCTTTGCCACCATCCACTTCTCTGCAAGATCGCTCTTTGGCACGAGATGAGATGCGTCCTCGTAGGGGGAGATGTAGGGCAGCTTCTGCCACTCATCCAACCACTTTCTCACCTTCTTCTCCAGGTCGAAACCCCGAGAGAAGTGAAGGGGGAAGGCGAGCGACATCCCCTTCTTGTACCCGCCGGTCTTCATGGCGTACCGCTCCATAGCGGAGACGGCGAGGTCCTTCCGGTACAAGACGAGCTCGAGGTCGAGTGCGCCGCCGACGCCGGTGGTGGAGGGGACGATCTGGAAGTAGTCGGGGTAGTCGGGGAGGAGGGAGCGGGCGTAATCGCGGGGGAGGCCGAGGTCCCAGCGGAGGCGGTCAACGAGGCAGAGGGGCAGGCGACGGCGGGGAGCGAGCATGAGGAGGCGGAGGAGGCGGTCGGCGGCGTCAGGGCGGGCGGCCTCGAAAGCGCGCCGCTCGTCGTCGTGCAGGCTGAGAAGCGCCGGGGTGGGGCGGATGACGGGGCGAGGGGGAGCGCCGGCGGTGGGAGGGGGAAGCTCCTCGATGAAGGCGGAGGGGAAGAGGCGGATGAAGCGGATGGGGCGGAAGGGGAGGCGGAGGTCAGCAGCGCGGGAGGCGATGAAGGCGAGGGGGAAAGAAGGGCCGGAAGGGGAGGAAGAGGCAGCGGAGGAAGGGAAGAGGAGGAGGTCCTTGAGGGCATGGAAGGGCTGGAGGTGCTTCTCCTTCTCGACGGCGTGGTCGAGTGCGCGGTCGCGGATCCACTTCACCCGGGCGTCGACGAAGGCGCGCCGCGGCTGGGAGATGGGTGGCCGGCGGTGAAGGCGGCTCAGGAGGCGGCACAAGGGCGGCGGCTGCGGCATGGTTGGCGGCGGAATGGTTCGACCCCTCCTTGGTTTCGACCTGATGGAAGCAAGCCCGTGGCCGCCGACGCTACCGGTCCGGGTTTTAGAAGGGTTTTAGTTAGACCGAACCGTGAATGGGCCAAGAAGCCCATGAACCAAAAAGTCCTCGATATTAATACCTAACACAATATTTTAATTACTTAAAACAATATTTGAAAACTATAATAATTATTTATTTTATTGTACAACGGAGACGTTTTAATTTAAATTAATATTTATATTTTTAAAAGCTCAATAATAACTATTCTGATCCCCTCCGAGGACTTTTCCGACGACTTTCCCGACGGGCTACCCGTATGCCCCTCCGACCTTCTCGTCTTCAAACCCTGCGTCGCTGCTGCGGCCGTGTCGGCTGCAGATCGTGTTGGAAGCTACATGGTTGTCGGAGGATCGTGGTGAGGTAGGGCTTGCCGCTCGCTGCAGCGTCGGCGACGCCCCGAGTATCAACCTGACGACTTCGTTGGTGGCGGAAGGTACTGCCCGATTTCCCGACTGATGTATCAATTACAAGGTTTGAAGATAGAGAAGTTGCTCGTTCTGATCCACTTCTAAGGATTTCTCCGTAATTTCTTTTGCTTTGATACAAAGACTTCTAAGTTAGTCTCACTTATACGTTAGTTAGATCATCTGAATTGGGAAAGTTGCTGTCTGTATTTAATCATGAATGTGCCTTCATCAAATTTTAGTTGCCCCTTTTCTTTACATAGAACTTCCTTTGGTGAAAAATTAGGTAATGATTGACGGAAAGATGGACGCAAATCTAAATCAATTGCCATGAAGTATTACTATAGTACCAAGGCGAATGGTCGGATTATGATGTGGTAGGATGAAAGTAGATGAGATTCACAATGCTTTTCTGTTAGATATATACACAGTAGGTTCTAAGATTCTGTTTTAATTTATGTAGGTGGAAATGTCAAATGGAATTATGGTTTAGAACCACAAGGTGGCAAGGTGAATGGGGCTAAATGGAGTCATTGGGAAAACTGTTAACACTAAGCTTAGGAATGTAAAAATTTTGTGATTTTTCTATGAAAATATTGTTTCTTACATCCTCTCTAGGAATAGTAAATCTAGAATCTTTTGCTTTCTTTAGAAATATTTTAAGACTATGATGGAGTTTATCTCAGTGGAGGCAGGAGTTAAAAGGAATCTAAAGCTAGTGAGATAAGCACTTGTGAAAACTAAAAATGAACCATTAGTGATGAAGTCACGTGATATGCATTATATGACAGACAACTGAATGTTATTTTTGAATACAAGCTTTTTCCCTGAAACATTATGGTATAGCAGCATGTTGGTGGAATGTTAGCTTGGGCTATGTCATAGCCAATGAGGGTTTAGAACCACAAGGTGATATGGTAAATGAGATTGAGTCGTTGGGAGTATTATTAACACTAAGCTTTAGAATGTAATTAACCAATTAAGTTCTGTGATTTTCCTATGAAAGTATTACTTCTTACATCTGCTGTACGAATTATAAGTCAAGGATCTTTTTCTTTCTTCAGAAATATTTTAAGATATGATGGAGTTTGGCTTAGTTCAGGCAGGAGTTTAACGAAATCTAAGCTACGAGATATGCATTATATGTTGTATATCTGCATGTAGGTGGAAATGTTAGCTGGGGCAGTGTCATAGTGAATGAGGATTTTCAACTACAAGGTGGTATGGTGAATGGGATTAGATGGAGTCGTTGGCAATCTCATTAATACAAAGTTTAAGAATGTAATTAACCAATTAAATGTTGTGATTTTTCTATGAAGATACTATTTCTTACAACTAATCTAGGAATATTAATCTAGGATCTTTTGGTTTCTTCAGAAATATTCTAAGATTATGATGGAGTTAATCTTAATAGAGGCAGGAGTTCAACAAAATCTAAGGTGGTGAGATAAGCACATGTACAAGCTGCAATGCTTTAAATTGGGCCATTAATGATGCAGCTACGACATATGTACTATATGTTAGTCAACTGATCTCATTTTTTATTCTGAGCTTGCTCCTAGAAGCATTGTGGTATATCTGCATACTCAGCTTGTTAGACAACTAAATGTTATTTTTCAATGAGAGCTTGTATCTAGAAGCATTGTGGTATATCTGCATATAACTAATCAAGAGAAAGTTACACGATGGAGGATCACCTAAATTCTGGACCTACTATTCCTTTAATACAGTAGTCTCATGAAGCTGCAATTCTTGTGCTTCTCAGGTGGTTCAGATAAAATTTCAAAGATTCAGTTGAAAGTAACTGTATGTGAGCAGACCATGAGAATCTATTTCTTTTAAGTCTCACATGGCAATTCTCTACAGACAACTGAACAGTTGCTGATATTTTCCTAATAAGTTGATGTAATCTCTCTCTCTCTCTACCTATCTATCTATTTATCTTTTGCTTGCTATCTTAACAGTTATCATATGCATACCTGATATCTAAATAGAAAATAGCTAGTTGTCAGTTGGTAATTAGCTTTTGTAGCTTCAATTTTGATTGCTTGAACAGCAGCTGCAATCAATGATTTCTTCTATCTTTCTTTTTCCTATGAAAAACTTACAAGAGTATGCATGAGTTGCTATGTAGAACTGGCACCTGTGGCAAGGTAAAAGATTTTAGATCATTTTTGTCTTGGTAATAGCACATGGTGTACAGCATCTTCTTTCGATTTAACCAAACAAATAAACTTATTTAGTGAGATTGCTACTTGATATGTGCATTTTGTGTGTTTTCTGAAACTATGACCAGACTCACTAGGATTTGCTGGTTGTCCAATAAATTGGTACTTATGAAGCATTGAATCCTACAATGTCTTAAGGTTATATACTTTTGCCTCTGGTGGAAACTTGATGTGGAATGCTACACTCCAGAGTCATCTTGCAGTGACCGTGGGCCTTTTGCTTCATCAAATTGGTATTGGAGGGAAATTGTCCATCATGGCTTTTCTTTGTCAATATTCATTATCTTTTCTTTTCCTGGTCTCTATAATTTGGATCATGGAGTTCGAAAAAGAAATTTATTTAATTCCATGCAAACTCAGGTTAAAAACTTACTGTTGATTCTGAAAGACCAATGGCTATGTTGGAAACTCACTTCTCTTCATAAATCCAATGTTCTCTTCTAGATCTGTCGTTTACCGGGACATCTTTCTTTCTAAATTGAAAAATACCCTATCCCTTTCACAAAACCTCTAGTCAATCTTCTACTCATGAAAGCCTTAAATTGTTAGGTGCTCTTTGATAAATAAAATAATTTGTTAGCCAAAAGGATCAAAGAGTTTGGAAAGACATGGTTCGAGACAATAAAAATTTGTGGCTGATACAAGATTAAGATGATCTTAACAGGGGAAGCCCAAAAAACTTTACGTCAGCTGTGTGGTTTGAGAAGCAAAATTTGAAGGTCAAATAGATGAAGATCCCACACTAGTTGGTTTGGTTGCATAAACGTGAAAACATGAACACCTAATTTATCAAGTGCTGATATCTCATGAGCTTTTATTTTGGAAATTTGGAAGTCACAATTTTTTGTTTGTTTCTCAGGGATCTATTAGATAGAAGACCTGAAGATAATACTGCATCTATTAGACTAGATGTTACTGTCATTTATAGGATAGTGCTTACATAAGTTTAAATGTTTATCGGTTGGTACTGTATGCCCTTTTATTGCTTGAACAGTATGCTGCAGTAACTTAGTTCAAAAGCTTGTTAAGAGAACAGATGGGCAATTGGTTTTGTGATATTTTGATTCCTTTGAATAGTCCAAAACCAAGGACTCTTGACTAGTTCTCTGAGATACATGTCATATGACTTGTTATCCATGTCATGTGCAAGTGTGAATAGCATTCGGCACTCTTCATGAACATGTCTATGTTATGTGCACGGATGACTTTTTGTCCAATCAGTTCTAATGTTAATTGCAGCTCCTTTTGTTTATTCCTAATCTTTGTTGGTTGAGTACTGTCGTTATGACTTGCAGGGTGTTTCCATGACTTTAATATATATCTGTTTGAGCCATGTATGTATTCAAAAATTAAGCATTGTCCTTGCACACGTTGCAATTCCGCAGACCAAGTAGCAGTGAAAATTGGCTCATAGTTTGTTTATATGGCTCCTGTCTGTAGCATTATCCTTTTGTTTGTAGCCAATAACCTTGCACTATAACTTCAAAAAATTCATGTGTATCTCACAAAGAACATAGGCACAGTCCTGTTGTTGTCAGCCAGGCTTTAGTGGCCTTATCTTTGTGGTCTACACTTGCCAGCCTGTTCATATCTTGGCAATTTCTTGATGGTCTGGATAAATCTTGTTAACTGTACTGACCCATGTTGTTTCCACTGAACAAAATTTGGAACTCTAAAGCAACTGTTTTCGGAATATCTCCTTGAATTTGCATGAGGAATTAATCTGTTTGCTAGCATATTTTGGCAAATAGTTAGCACATAATTCTGCTTATTTGATCATAATGGTAGCCCTTGTGTATAAGTAGCCAAGTTGAATACAGCATTGATATCTGACGTTTTTTCAGCACTAGTATGGATGTCATTATACATACAATCATATTGAGGTTGGAAGACAGTATAGTGATCTCAAACTTGTTAAAAGGTTTTAGATCTTTATTCATGATTTGAGCCTAAACTAGCATTTGATATGAAGTTAAATGCTCTAAAGAAATCTTAATATTGGTGAACTTTTGAAACTGCTTTTTTTTTTCTTCGTCGTAGAGAATTTTTTAGAAAATAATTTAGATATATTTTAGAAAATACTCATATTTTAGGTATTTTTTCAATCATTACCCCCATTTTACTTTTTCTCAAATGGTATCTCTAATTTTATCTTTAAAATTTTTTTCCTCTATAACAATATTTTGATTGTTACAGTATTTTTGTTATGGTTAATAAAAACACTGTAAAGTTTACTTGAAAACATTGTAAATGATCTAAATAAATTTCTAACCTCAATCAAACGAATTATAAACCTAAAAATATGATATTATAATGGTTTATGAATAATGACAACTAAAGAAATACCATATGATGTTACTCATAATGTTTTTTTAATAACATTTATAATATTTTCAGTATATTAATAAAATATTATTGAAGAATACTATAAACGAATCAAATAAAAACACCATGAGAGCTGAAAACTAATAAAAAAAATAGACTGAAAAATTTAGGAGGAAAATATTTTAGAGATATTTTGGATTTTTTTTAAAATTAAAAATATTACTAAAATATCTAAAATATTTTTTAAAAAAATTAAAGAGGAGATATTTTAAGAAAAAATTCAAAATATGAGTATTTCATGAAGCAATCGTCCTTCCATAAAAAATAAAAAATCTTACAAGATTTAGTTTATGTTGTTTTTGTTGTTTGTGGGATTGTTGTTGCATGGATTTCCCCATGGATGCCAGTAAAGGTCAATGTCTGTGTGGGTGGCATGTCTGATAGTAGCAGTTCCTATGCACATATCCAGCAAACAGTGTCCCATCAAAGACAATACCATAACTGCAGAGCCGTACGTCACAATAATTTATGCAGGACCATTTGCCATCGAGGAGCATTAAGAACGAAATGTGCGGGTACGGTCTCTTGCCTTCTTGCTCTGTTGCTGACAGTGCTTTTCTGTTTTGTTATGGTCCATAGAATAAAGTTACCTCTTTTTTCTTTTTTTATCTTGGACAACTTATGGGTTCAATCCATTATCTCCCAAGTACTGCATTCACAGAAGTGTTTCCGAGTTCCATTTTTTACAGCACTACTCAGCTGGATTCAAGATTATCACTCCCTAATTCTTGCTTGCTCTAATATTAATATCTGTAGATCAAGTTACTCTTTCTAGATGTTGGACAACTTGAAGGTGCAATCTTTCATCTCCAGATGTTGCATTCGCAGATGGGTTTCCAGGTTCCAATTTTGTTACAGCCTTACTCTGGTGGATTCAACATTATCACTCCCCAATTCTTGTTTGTTCTAATATTAATATCTGTAGATCAAGTTACTCATGTTGGATCTTGGACAACT